AACCCACTAGATGTATCAAACAAAAACAATTATAACCCATTGGAATGAATGGGTGGCGTGCAATTTGCGAAGCAAAAGCGGATTTTAAGTGTATGTTTAGATTAGTTTGTAAGAGTTTTTATTTTTTATTTTTATTTATAAGTGATAAACTTAAATTTTTATTAAAAAATTTAAAAATTATTTTTAAAATTAAAAAAATAAGTAAAAAGTGAATAAAAAAATTTGTAAAACATTTAGATTTAAAACTTTTTAAAATTAAAAAAAATTTTAAAATATAATTTTTTTAAAATATAAATTCTTTTAAAAAATATTTAAACTTATAAAATATAAATAATATAAAAAAAAAAAAAAAAAACTAAAACTCTTGTTACTAGTTATATCTTCCACAAACCCACACCATATGATTCCAACACTACTATAGTAGACCGGTTGCGTCTTGCAGATGATCTAATTCGTATCAGAAATCTATATATTTTTAAAAAAAATCCCACAACCTAGGTTTTTCAAATTATATATATATATAAACTTTATAATTTAAATTGTTTTAAATTATAAATAAAAATTTTTAAATAAAAAAAATTAATAGTTTTTTATAATTTTTAAATTTTTTATTAATATATTATACAACATAAACTTAAAATTTTTTATTTTTAATAAAAAAATTTTTATTATTAAATTAGTTGGATCGCGGCTGACCTCCATTCTTTCTTCATCACCCTACTCTCGTGAGAATATCAACCAATTGTTCCATTAAACAAAAAAAAGACAAAAACCCATGTTAAGCCCCTCAACTTTTTCAACAGCTAGTGATAAGCCCTTGAACTAAAAAAAGTAGCAGATAAGTCCTCAAACCCCACGTAAGGAGCAAATTGGCTCCTCCACTAACTAAGCTCTGTCACGCCGTTAGTGTAATGGCTTGCGTGGCATTTGACATCCAACTGGCTTCAATGTGGCTCCAACGTGGCATTAATGGGTCAATTAAATACAAATCCCCACTAGATCCCTAGTATCGAGAAGACAAATGCTGCAACAGAGAAGGCAAAGGAAGGCTACGAAACAGCAAAAAACAAAGCAGCAGGGAAGATGAGTGAGGGAACGGGGGACAGTGCAGCGGAGGAGATTAAGAAGAGGCAGGGACACTCGGCAGAACAGCTGAATTGGGCCAAGGACAAAGCGAAAGAAGGGTATGATGCGGCAAAGAACAAGGCTAAGGAGACGTTGGAGTCGGTGAAGGAGACGGTTGCTTCAAATTACGAGGCGACGAAGCAAAAGCCGTCGGAGTAAATGCCTGCTGAAAGCGGGGTAAACAATAGAACCAACCACGAGGTTCATTAACTTGGCCAACCTACAAATGTGGTAGCTCAGTATTTGCATAAACTGACAGAGCCCCTGAGGCAGCTGAGACCATATTAATGTCGGAAAAGATGAAAAGATGAAAAACTAAAAACTCTAGCTTAACTCAGATGAAAAGATGAAAAACTTGAAAGAATTGTATGTCCAACAAAGCCATCATTAGTATTTATTTATTTACTTGCATATTTCTTTTGGGTGATTTAATAAATGTTATTATCCTTAGATCATACATTAATTAA